CCCTCATTGCCTCTCTCGCTTCTCTGATTTGGGTTTTTCAGATGGGAAATGCCAACGGAAAAGAAGAAGACGCCGTCGCTAACGTCGGTGCAGATGTCACCTCATCTTCGGCGAGATCCAACGGCGGCGATCCTTCCGGTCGCAATCGTAATCGTCGTCCTTCCTCAGACTCTATGAGTAGTTCTCCTCCTGGAAGCCCCGCTCGATCTCCTTCTCCATTCTTATTCGCTCCTCAGGTTTCCTTCTCTCTCTCTCTTTTCTACTCTGTGTTTATCGTTGAATTTGGTGTTTTGGTGTTTGGATGATCCGATTGAAACATTATTGAACTTTCGTCGAATGTGAAATAGAGTAAGAGAAGGGATCACTTGAATTTTCATATGTTTCACTCATAGAGAGCTTTTTCTTCAGTAGATTTTGCCCAGGATCCAATCACTAAAGGGATGCACTTGATTTGTTTTATATTCTGTTTCCTTTTGGTGGGTTAGAGATTCTATACTTGAGAATATCCCTTTTTGTCGTTTTGATTTTGCCATTCTAAGAATGTGGAAAGTCTCTACCTATCATGTAAGATGTGTTAAATTCGGTTGAGAACACTCCTCGTTATGATTGTTGATGTCTTCTTTTAAAGTCTTTGTGTAATGTAACTTTGCTTTCATTGAAGTGAGCAAGCTTACTGCGAGACTAAACACTTTTGTGAGTGGAATCTTTCGTATAAAGGAATTGGACTTGACTCGGTTTTGTTTGTTGGTTCTTGAGAAGTCGAAAACCGGGTAAATGACAAGTTGGCAAGTTATTCTTCCTTTGTTTTGGCGGCCGATGAGGCTTATATTACCTTATTGCTATGCCTTTTCTAATGTTGAGTTACAATCTAGTTAATCACGCTAGAGAATCTGCTTTGGAGAAGTTCCTATTTCTTGTCTTGGTTATGCCATGCCTAGTGTGGAAAAGTGTATACGAGTCAAATAGGATGTTAATTCTTGTCGGTCTTCGTTTTTATGCTCATTTTGATTTTCCTGCTACTCTTTGGTCATTACTAGTTGCTGGTACTGCTCTGTTGACTTGTAATTGTGAATTGTGATGCCCCATCGTGAGTCTTTTGCGTAATGTTCCTTTGCTTTCGTTTTCAAGTGAACTTGTGCAAGCTTGTTTATATCTAAGCAGCCCTCTTGAATTTAAACACGCAGATCTTGAATTTACTTAAACGAATTAGAGATTATGGTTGTTTCTTCATTGTTCTTAATATGTGAATACTTCATAACAGCAGTCAAGGAAAAACCTTCAAAATTGACTCGGTTTTATCAGGGTTAAGTGGGAATAGTAAGATATCTTTGCTAATCAGGTCTTGTTTATATTATAGTGACATTCTCTTTCTACTGTTTGCTATGTTCATTATTCCGCTCCTTTTCTTTTCAGCTCACATTGTTAGTCAACCTTACATCTAACACCATTGGCTCAACTATGCGTCACTTCTTCCATTGTTTAGGCATAACATGTGTACCTAATGGCTGCATTTCGTGTCAGATGGTAGATGTAGTGTTCTAACATTCACAAATTCTTCCCGCTCTTGGTTTGAGAAATCTCACTGCTCAATTTTTTTATGTGCACATTTCAGGTTCCTGTGGCTCCATTGCAGAGGACAAATGCGCCTCCTTCGCCTAACAAAATCCAATGGAGCCAATCTCAAAGAGTTTTTGATAACCCCGGAGAGCAAGGAATCCCTATCATCATTACATGGAACCAGGGAGGTAATGAGGTGGCAGTGGAAGGATCATGGGACAATTGGAGATCAAGGTATAAGTTGCTTTGTTTTTTTCGGGAATTTAGTCCCGAGCCCTCCATAACTATATGTGTATGTATACTAAACATATATATTTACATTCTCCAGGAAGAAGCTGCAGAAATCTGGAAAAGACCACTCAATTCTCTTTGTCCTTCCATCTGGCATATACCACTACAAAGTCATTGTCGATGGTGAATCCAAACACATCCCAGATTTACCGTTTATATCAGACGAAATGGGCAATGTCTGTAACATTCTCGATGTTCATGTAAGTAATTTCCCCACCTCTTTTTTTCGTGTTAAATCTATCAGCCAATCAAACCTACTGTTGTAACATTATCTGCAATCATTATGCAGAACTTTGTGCCAGAGAACCCAGAAAGCATAGTGGAATTTGAGGCGCCACCGTCACCTGATCATAGCTACGGTCAAGCCCTCCCAAACGCAGAAGATTACGCGAAAGAGCCATTCGTGGTTCCACCTCAGCTTCATCTAACACTGCTTGGCAAAACTGAAGAAACAGCCATAGCCTCAAAACCTCAACATGTGGTGCTTAACCATGTGTTCATAGAGCAAGGATGGACTCCTCAATCCATTGTAGCTTTGGGTTTAACCCACAGGTTCGAGTCTAAGTACATAACCGTTGTCCTCTACAAACCGCTCACACGGTAACCCTGAAAATCCCAAATCCACTGCCCCCACAATGTTTTTTTTTTTTTGCTTTCGTCTCTCAGTTCTGTGAAAACTCCTGTTTCTTGATAGTGAGTGCCCAACATTTCCGAGTTAACCTCTTTCTTGCGTGGTTTGGTTGTACAAAGCTTCTCATTGCGATTTTCGATTCCGCAGAAACTGTAACATACATTCCCTAAAATAATAGCTATAACAAAGTTATCTGCTAGCAACTAAACACATAATTCCTGTTTCATTTTATCGAAAGAAAATCGAGCCAAATTAAACGTTTAAGAAGGCTCTATTTTAAGGCATTTTTGTTGTTGAAAAAAGTTAAACCAATAAAAAAGAAAAGATTAATTATTAGTATATATTTGGTTTGAAAATATATATAATTTGGATAAGAGAAAGATAAAAGAGAAGGAGCGTGAGAGCCACACGAAGGAGTATGGAGGAAGAAGCATCGTGCTAGTTAATTGAGACGGATCAAGTTACAGAAACTATAAGAGTCTCTTTCCAATTACTTTCTCGACCTCCTTCGCTCGCCGAGAGAAGTCTCTTTACTTGTCTCTCTCCCTGGGTTTTTTGCATGCGATTTCGACTCTAGTTCTCTGGATTCTCCGGCCAATTCGCAG